CTAAATCAGTTTCGTGAGGAACATTTGTGTGCGGAGTTTAATGCGAAATAATATTTGGTGTAGCGGACCTGGTAACCAAAGGGTAATTCATAGAGTCAAATAGCTTTAACCTGCTTTAATGCCGCTGTTTTAAAAATGTTAATGCATTATTGTCGCGTTAACTTACCCTAAATTCACCACAAGACAGATTTTCTTTACACAGTATTAGTTGTGGTCTGAACACTGTTTTCCACCCCCTTTTACTTAATTTTATTTATAAAGCACTTTACAACTGCACCTGCTGTACAATCTGCAGCATAAAAACAAACAACACATAAACAACATGCAACTTACTAATACAGATACTAGCCCAACCTCTCAAAAGCTAAAGACAAGAAATCATTTGTAACACATGCTTTTAAATACATTTAAAGAAGTGATCTCTCTTAGTTCAAGACGCAGACTATCAGACTATTCCAAAGCCTCGGACCCCCAACAGCAAAGGCCTTTTGATTGACAGAATATAATTCTGGTTATGTTAACAGCCGATGCCGATTATTTGCTGATACATCGGTGCATCTCATAATTACAGTAGCCTATGTGTCACGCTAACAATTCTGTACGTCAACTATTGACCCAATGTGTGTATTTTCATGTCTGCGAAACAGAGAACCATATGAGAGCAAACATGTGAGCAATGAAACCTTCCCCTGAGGAGGAGGCACACAAAACCGTCCATCATCTCTGTCAGGTGTCTCCTCCACTGAACCCGTTTCTCAAGGCCTGACTGCACACCCCTGCATTCACATCTGCATTCACTGCAAACCCTTTCCTCCTCGAGCTTAATGAGCCGCCCACACAATAAAAGCTTATTTATCCACAATTTGAAGCCAAAGTAAATGCAAGTACTATGATGACCTTCAGACAGCATAATAACATGGGTCATACTCTTCCGTTATAACGGTTATTTAGACTAAAAAATCATAGTTTACTTTTTCCACCTCTATAATCAAACATGCTTTTAACAGGCCAAAAGTGATGTCCAGCCTATAGGGAAATTGGTATCTTCACCTTTTATTCAAGAATTATAAAAAAAATGTTTTAAAGATTTTGTAAGCATATTGTATAGTTGTGCTTGTAGTCAGTTGTTTTGTTTTGTGATAATGCAAATTGTGCAAATTTTGGCCAGGCTGTCAAACAACACAATTATGAATGCATGCAAAAACAAGAGAGAACCAACAAAATATTAATAACTGATTATGTTGTATCAATGTGTAACATGGTAATCAAGGTAACATGTGGGGTTCCGCAAGGCTCTGTGCTGGGCCCATTGCTTTTTTTGTTATACATTAAAGCTGCAGTCCGGAACTTTTCCTCTTTGTCGCCATCTCTCTGTTCGAAATCTGTAACTGCAGTGATTCGCGGAATTATTATCTTTACGTGGGTTGTAAATCGGCATGAAACAGCGCGGATGAACACAGTGCTTTGAGGCGAGTGCCGCTGTCAGTCACCGCGCTGTGTGGATATACTGTCATACAGAATCACAGATTCACTTTTTGAAAGTTTGACCAACATAAGAATTTTCATAAGAAAATGTCTTCTGAACAAGTAAGTAAAATCCATTTTTGTTCTGACCAACTAAGGGGGGAAAAGCATTCGACATGATAAGCTTCGTTAGATTTAATCAACGCGATTTACAGCAACCGTGCAAATTATAGCCTACTTTGTTCTCAAATTGTTCATGTTAACAACATCAGCATTGCGTGACTAATGTTAAATTGAATGTGTTTTATGGTTACCTGTGTAGTTCAGAATTCATATTCTCCATAATAGCAAAACGAGAAAGGCACAAGGAAACTCCATAACTGTGTGAATTAAGAAAACGTACTGTTACACGATTGAACTATTGAAATGTCTTACTTGTTCAGCAGAAAAAAGCCGTCTCTTCTTCCGTTTTGAACCCCTTTAAAACACGGAGTTCACGCACTTTTCAAAAGCCCCGCCGATGTTTAAATCCTTGTGTTCGCATGAGACGGTTTCTTTCTCTTTCTCTAGCCACCTTAAATCCGAAGTACGAAGTCTTTTGGGTTTTATAACTGCTGAATCTCCAGTTGATGACACTGATGATTGTTGTTTGGATCTTTCTGGATGCCATAAGTTTAATTATGTAAAGTGCTGCGAGAAAAGCCTATACATCTAAACATCTCGTCACGCGCAGTATAGCCGGCTAGCCGAAACTCCTTCTTTATGTGTACGGGTGTGACGTCATGACGCAAAGACATGCTCGAATTTCCCGCGGAAACCCACCAGTACCACTGGAATTAAAATCATTATTACAAGCTAACCGTTTTGAATCTAGCTATGGCAAGCAGATAGTTTTGACCACTGGCAGAATAATTTTTTTTTAATATAATTATTTGGGATTATTTTTAACTTAAAAAAGTTACGGACTGGAGCTTTAATGATATATGTGAGGTTTCCAAAGTATTACAACTGATATTATTTGCTGATGATACAAACTTATTTTGTTCTGGTGACAATCTGAAACAACTTTTGGATACAATGGGAAAAGAAATGGCACTGCTAAAAAATTGGTTTGATTCGAATAAAATAACGTTAAATATAAGTAAAACAAAATGTATTGTGTTTGGCAATCATTCATCCAATACAATAGGTAAATTAATGATTAATGAGGTTGAAATCGAAAGGGTGTCAGCTAATAAATTAAACTAAGAGTAACTAAACTAAAGAGTAATTATAGACAAAAACTTAAATTGGAAGCCCCATATATCTTATATTAAGAACAAGATTTCAAAGTCAATTGCAATATTATATAAAGTTAAATATTTCTTAAATGAAAAATCACCATATACTTTGTATTGTTCCCTTGTGCTTCCATACATTATTTATTGTGTGTAAGTATGGGGAAATACATATAAAACAAATACCAACCCAATATTTATGCTTCAAAAGAGAGCAATGCAAATAATAAAGAAAACCACCTATCAGGGGCCAACAAACTCCCTTTTTATTGAATTAAAGGCTTTAAAGTTTAAAGAATTAGTAGAACTAAAAACACTACAAATCATGTATAAAGCAAAAAACCATCAATTGCCAGAAAGTATCCAAGGGTTGTTCACAGAAAGAGTTTGCCAACATGACTTAAGGGGAACCTGTATTTTTAAAAAGAACCAAGTGAGGACCAATGCAAAATACCATTGTATTTCAGTTAAAGGTGTAAATTTATGGAATAACTGTCATGAGGAACTAAAAATATGTGGGACACTTAGTAAGTTAAAGAAACAATTTAAAAATAATGCAATGAAATTATATGAAACAATTTAAAGAGTGATAAATGAATAAGCTGTTTTTGTTGTATTCTAGAGTGTGAAACTGAATTGCATAGGAAATACTTGGGTTTTGTATTCTCTTTAGATTTGTGTTGTCAACATTATATTGATGTAAGACAATACTTATTTTTATTTTATTTGTTTAAAATATGAGATGTTTTTCAAAAAGGGTAGGCATTATAAGCAAGAGCTTCAGCCTACACCTGTTTCAGACAGAAGTAAATATGCTGTAGTTTGTCAGCTGAGCCGTGTTTAAACTAAGTTGTCTGTCTGAAATAAACCAAAATGTCAAAAAATGTCAAAATGCTTTTTTATAATAAAGCCTATAGTTTGTGGGGGGTTTTGGCCAATTAATTTTGTCAGAGAAATATTTAAACCTTTAAATATTTAAAGTTTAGTGTTTTGTTCTTCCCTCATCTTTAAAATATTTTTAAGAAAATATAAAATATATTTTGATGGTTACATTGAACTTGGGGTCATTAAAAACAAGCATCACTTTTGGCCACTACTGAATGTGTGATTTGACTGACAAAGGGTTTTTAAGACCCATTTTATTCCTGATTTTTTTGGTGAACTCCAGGTGAACAGGGTAATAAACATTTGAACTAAACTAATAGACAGTTTTCTGAAATGTTTCATTTAAACATGCCAATGATGCATTATCTAATTAAATATGTGCTCATTTGCATAAAGCTCCAGAACGGAAATCTGAACGTTGGGTTTAAAATGTAAAAAATATATATATATATATCATTTTGTTGACATTAAAGGTTTTTACAGAAGTGGATTTTGAATCTATTTTTATAACTCTATATTATAGAAAATACTGTCAACAAAAAAAAAAATGTTCACCATATTTTTTAGAAAGTATAATTTTATATAATTCAGGCGAACGATAAATGATGAAACCTTCAGAAGATAAAGTTTGGTGTATGTAAATCTGAAGAGAAGAGAGGAGATTTCCGAAGAGAAAAAACATGTTTTTCAAGATATATATTATAATTGAAATCTATATTGAAGTGTAGTAAAATAACATAAATGCACATTTTGTATATTTTCATTTTGTATATAAGTCATGTTAAGTAAGCTAAATAGCCCAACATCTCAGAATTGATCAGTGCATGAAAAAACTACGGCTTTGCCTTAAAAACTACAGTAAATAAGCCATGAGAAGAAACACATAAACAATGATCCATCAGATGAATTTTCACAAGCATTTTATTGACTGTTTAGTCATAAAAAGCATCAATCCCTTGATGAGAAATGATTTCACAGTAGCACAAAGCATAAATAGTTCAGCATCCCAGACAGACATTTCCATGATCAATTCCAGCCACAGGGGGCGCTAAAAGAAAACAGAAATCCCACACATCGATGCATAATTCAGACCTGAGCTGAGATGTGCCTGTGCGTGATGCCCAACATTACAGCGTTACATAACCACGGCAGATTTTAATTGTGCTGCTCATGGGCGATGGAGTTAAATCTTGTCATATTACCAGTAGATTAACCCACACAGTAAGATCCAGCTGAAACCAGCACACTATTAAATCATGACCTAACATTACCATGACCAACTTCTCTTCTTTATTCCTTTACAAAACTTAAACAAATAAAATGACTAGTCAGTTGATGTTCTGAGGAAAGAGAGAGTGAAACCGATTGTCTTACCGCTATGATATGTAGCAGGACAGCACCGCTCTTGCGCTCGGCATTGGTGAAAACATCATCTGGAAATTCACGGATGGCTGTAAAAAACACAAACACACATGTACATTCATGCATTTGATCCAAAGCAAATTATGGTTGATTCAAACAGTTTCAAAACATTTGGAGAGTGTTCTAGGTCAATGTTTTATAAAGAGAATTTCACAATTCAAAACAACATATCTGGCCCTCATCTTTTATCTAACAAACCTGAAGGAATTAATAACTTATTCATGAATGTTGGTGATGCATAAACAGAGGAGGGATTTCCAGCTCACAGCCAGACGGACTGGAGAAAGAAAGAAGACGGATAAATACCACCAGAAATGACTAACTCAGAGACGAGATAGATAAAAATGGGCTGGAAGGTTTTTTGCATTCAGATGTTTTGAAAGGCCACTGTTGACGGCGTGTTTGCATGAGTTCTCCCCGTGACATCTTTTGTTCTCAGATGTTTTCCAAACATATCATTGATATCTGAGGTTATAGAAATGATTTGTTCAGTCTGAGCTGTAAGTGCAAATGTGGGAGTGTGTGTGTGTGTGTGTGCGTGCGTGCGTGTGTGTGTTTATACTCAAGCAGGGAAGATAGACAGAATATCACGGACTGAGTAGCGTACTGCATACTGCACAGTATATACTGTAAACCAGGGGTGGGCAACAGTTTTAGTCTGAGGGCCACAGTTACTTTGGCAAAGTAAACGGAGGGCCACACTTTGGACAATTGCAATTAAACAGTTACATGATTAAATGGTACAAATTAATTCAATGCAAATATGTATAAGGCTACTCTACAGTTACTTTGACAGCCTATTTCAAGGCCTGATATTTATTTTTGCTATAGGCCAGTCTGACCTAGGCCACTCTAAGGTTACAATAACTTGATTTACTTTCCTACACTACCCTGCACATTGTTCATGTCATTCATACCAGCTGTAACTATTCAAGATGGAAAGCTATTAACAAAACTGCAAATGTATGTGTGCAGGTTACATTAACATTAGGGATGTGCACGAATATTCGAATTTTCGATCTGTAATTATTATTAGTAAAATAAAATACTATTCGAATTTTACTACGTTGCTTTGCTGGCCGTAAATGCAGTGAATCCATGATAAATCCCAAGCACTAACTCGCAATTATAATTAAATGCACTGGGTGGCGCTGTGGAGTGTGTTAACAAGTTGTGTGTATTTGATCACATAATGTTGTCGTCTGCATCGCGAAGTTTGGAATTACTTGAAAATGATCTTACTAAATGGAATTACTTTTGATCAAATTAATTAATTAATCTGAGTTATAATATCATCATCACCACAATGAGAAATCACATGAAATCCAAACAGTCGACTGAGGAAAGACAGCTGACCAACACTGCATTCACGACTGCAGGTAAGCGCAGCTGGACCCCGCGTGATCCGAGCTTAGATGATAACTTATCTTATAGCAAAATTATTTTGAGACATATACTTCCTTTAAGTTTCGTTGAGGGAGACCGGTTTAAGAGCAGAAAACGCAAAGTGCTGTTAGAAACTTAGAACACCGTTATCTTTGTGTCTCTGAAACGTCTGTCAGCGCAGCGCCTTTTCTCACTCGATCATAAATTGCTGGCGGCGCCCCTGCATGTGGATATTGTTTTTCTCTATCTATATAAACGTGAAACAATATAAACACGATAATCATATGCTGACTCGAGTGTGTGTACGTTCTGTACGATATCTGGCGCAACCGCTTTATTAGGCGTTTTTTTCCCGTTCGCGCTGCTTGAGCATTCTTTTATTAATGCTTTTGTTTTTTTATATTTTTTGTTTACACATAGGCCTAATGTTTAATGTTTTCAACTAAAAGAAATGGTGACAAAAACGTAAAAAAAAAAAAAAAAAAAAATAGCATCTTTTTCGTTAAATGTCATTTAAATAAACAAATATTCGAATATTCGATTTTTATGAGCCCAAATATTCGAATGCAATATTTTTGAAAAATGCCCATCCCTAATTAACATACAGACTTCCAGTGTTGGGAAGGATACTTTCAAAACATATTTCGTTGCAGAATACATGACTGGCAAAACCAGCAAAAGTAATGATTATGAATATGTAAAATATAGCAAGGAGATATTTTAATTGTTTATTAATAAATAAGTGTTTTCTTTGTCATTGTCGGCTAAGATGAAGTTGGCGATGCTGACTCGCGATCTTCAGTAGCCTAGTGAACGCGCCAGAGAGAAATGCACATTTCATAAGGATTACATAAGCAGAGAGCAGTCTGTAGTCTGTTTTCTTTCGTTTTGAATTGTTCAGTTTAAAAGTAGACATGTGAGGCAAGTAGGCTACTTTATATGCTGAGTTTCGGTTCATTTATGAGACGAGCTCCAGTTCACGCGCCGGCGTGATTATCTCGTTATTAATGTTTCGTGATTATCTCTATAAATACAGGCAATTGGTTGATGAAACATTGATTAAAATTAAGATACAATTAATACAAAACGAAATTCACTTTAAAGAAAGGTTTTGTGCTTTCTGTTTGATGTCTTTGTGAAAGTTTTAAAGCATCTTTTAGTGCCGCTTTCAGAGCGCTCACGTCCGTAACGGAGAACACGTCCGTAACATTGTTTTTCCTCATAAATGCGAACACGAAAAATAAAATAAAATGAATATTTTATGTTATGTGGAGACAACCCTTCATCCGGTGGGTAGTATTAATTTTGGTTTGCGCAGTGTAATTCACAGAATTACTAAAACATATTTGCCACCTAAGTTAAAGATTGTTTTGTGTCACGCATGTTTATTTCGGCGTGTGTTTCATCCAAATTGCGATCGCATCGCGGGGGCCGGATTGAAGCACTATGCGGGCCGGATCCGGCCCCCGGGCCGTATATTGCCCATGTATGCTGTAAACTATGCATTGTTTTCACATGACGTCAACATGTTGCATGTGTAATCCAGTGGATGCGGTCCACTTATCATTTTTGAAAAATTGCAGTTATTCTTCATTTTCAATTAGATTCTATGTACAACAGAGCGCTCTGATGACACACTGTATCCGACAATACAATGCACCTTCCATTTTCAGTGTGACAAATGAACAGGAAATAAAACATTTTAACATCTTTTGACTCATATTTGATCAGGCTAAATGTATGTTTATAATGTTTATATTGTATGAGTGTTGTCTCACCTCCTACTAAACAACAACAACAGTGCAAAATACCGCAGTACGCTTATTCCATTCTGAACATTTATAATGCACATATGCAATTGGCAGATGCTTTTAACTAAAGCTAGACTGAAGAAAATTTGGGTTAGGATTTAGGCTACTTGGAAACAATTTTCATTCAGAAATTGCTAGTAAATTTTAAACAAAACTGAGATCCACCAAATAAATAAACAGATGCACAGAATAAATAAATGACAAAACTGATATACAAAAAATACATCAAAATAAATAAATAGCTATGACAACACAGATGCACAGAATAAGTAAATAAATGACAAAACCGAGATGTACAGAATAAATAAATAAGTAATAAACAAATAAACAACAAAACTGAGATGCACAGTATAAATTAATAAATGACAAAACTGAGATGAACAGTATAAATAAATAAATAAGCTATAGTAATGACAAAAATTAGATGCAGAGAACAAATAAATAAATGAGAGAAATGAGCTGCACAGAATAAATAGATAAATAAATAAATCTCATTGATATTGTTTCAAGGTCAAGTTGAGTCCATTGCACTGTGGGATACACCACAGTGTTCTCTGGTTGTGTGCTGAACAATACAGTAGGTCATTCAGATCTTCAGTGCATACAGGACATTCACATACACTGCACAATAAACACACTGACACTGCTGCAGGAAATATGATGGTAGGATGCTATTCCAAGCACGGGGATAATCCTGTGCAGGACAGCAGTCATGCCAATGCCAAAACATGCAGAAGCAGCCCGGCCCTCACCATGAGTCAACACTGTGTGCTCAGCCGGCGAAGATTCAGCTCCTGCACAGGTGAAGGTGACTTATGCTCCGCACACATGCTCTTACTGTATCTAAAGGGGAACACATCAATACTCCTGCTCTGGAAACACCACCAGGACAGCGATTACAGCTTCATCTGAAATGATCAATAAATCCTTCGTCTGTCTGTTTTCACACATGTACACGCACCTTTATAATGTGATTAAAACCGTGCAGAACAGAATGCTGTGATTATGTTAATGTGATTAAGCTCGTAATTAGAGTAACAATAATCACGGTGAAATCCAGAAACGGAACAGCTTTACATGACATGGGGTCATGTGTTTTTTTTAGGAGCATTTCCAGCAAAACAAAGGACAGCAAGTGCCCTTGAACCAGTGAACATTTAAAGCAAGCGAATGAAAACACTAGTGTTGTGGGTTGGTGTATAGCGAGTGAAAAGGAAGAACAATGGCAGAAAACAACCACATTTCATAGCAAATGATCGGAAAATTCACGTAGCGAATTGAAAGAGGCGTTCAAAATGCATGCTACAACTATTCTTTCTATTTCTGCAGTATATAGTGCTTATAAAAGTGCACTACCATTAAAAAATTAGGGGTTTGATATGATTATGCACACTAGAATGCATTTATTTGGTCAAAAATACAGTAAAAATATTACTACAATATTATTACAATTTAAAATAACTGTTTTCTATTTGAATATATGTTCAAATGTAATTTATTCCTGCGATCAAAGCTGAATTTTCAGCATCATTACTCTAGTCTTCAGTGTCACATGATCCTTCAGAAATCATTATAATAGGATGATTTGCTGCTTGAGAAATATATCTGATTATTATCAATGTTGAAAAGTTGTGTCTAGCAATTTTTTGTTGGAACGGTGATCCATTTTATTCAGGATTCGTTAATGAATAGAGTTCAAAACAGCAGAATTTATGTGAAATAGAAAACTTTTGTAACATTATTAATGCTTTTACTGTCATTTTGATACATTTAATGTGTCCTTGCTGAATAAAAGAAATCATTTCTTAAAAATGACTGACCCCCAAACTTAT